ATGAATAGTGATTTCGTCTACTCTCATCACTGTCTAAAGTTTATCGCACGCTTACGATTATCTGCTAGTATTTTATTTTTCATTTTTTTCTACAAATCGGAATGACCTGAATTTGAAGCTTGTATACATCTTAGTGAAGAGCACCTAATAAAAATATATAAAAAAAATTTGTGAAAAATAAATTGACCAAAATACCCCCAAAACTTTTCGGGAAAAGTTTGGTCACTTATTTTTATATAAAATATTTTTTTGATATTTTTCGTAGATTTGCCTATTTTTTATGAATACACGTTCAAATTTTAAGTGATTTCGATTTGTAGAATAAAAATGAAACACTATCGGAAAATCATGACCGTGCGATGAACTTTGGACGGCGATGAAGATAGGCTAAATCACTGTTCATTAGGCGTTTTGTGATATCTTATATATATATATATATATATATATATGAAAAATTTTATATAGAGCCGAAGCTCTAAACAATCAAATTATAGCCTACCTAAAAAATTTCACTAAAAGTGGTTGTTTTGATACTCAAATATTCTCAAATTGATCATCTCGACATCTAGATGCATGGACTTGAGAAAAAAAAATGGATTTCAAGTTTTGAAACTAGTGCATCTTATAAAGTTAAATTATTCAATTTTTTATAGATCTACTCGATCTACACTATTTTTTAAGCTTTAAATTTTATAATTAAAGATAAAAATATATTCTAAGACTAGTAAAAGATTTCCGATATGGAAACAACACTTATTGCCACTATTTGAAGGTGGGCTCTAATTTGATTGTTTAGAGCCTCGGCTCTATACAAATCGGCCCCATATATATATATATAGATTTGTCTAGAGTTAACAACCCCTCAAAATACAAAAGTTCAAGTTAAGAGGAGTTGTGATGGTCGTATTTATCAAAACAATCATTACTTTTTTATTAAAAAAATATTTAAATAAGTAACTTTACTATTAAACAAAGGCAAATTTGAATTTTTTCCAAAAATACAATGGTATTTTGGAAGTTAGTGTCTTGAAACTTTATTTGCAGAGTACCCTTATCTTTTAATTCAAATTTCAACTTTACGGGTGATGGCAAAAGTATTTTTCGTCTTGTAATAATATTTATAAAATTGCCCCACAAAAATAACTTTTTTTAAAAAAATAAACTATAATTAATAAATCTACCCTTCACGACTCGCTCAATCTTGAACCTTTGTAATTTGAAGGGTTGAAAAGATTAAT